GATGTCTACAGTTTCGGAATCCAGTTATTGGAGATGATAATAAGGAAAAGGCCCACAGATGTTATGTTTGAGGGAGGTGAACTTTGCTAAAGTAGCTTTGCCTAACCAGATGATGCACATTGAGGATCCAGTACTTCCAAATGTTGATGAAGAGACGACTGCTACTAACCATAGGCTGAAGGAAACAATAAACAACATCGGAAAGAATGTCTCATTTCTATGGAGTTTTTGCTCTTTCATTTATATGATTTTTAGCCTATTCCTTTTACTAATCCTAGGGCTATGAAATTAATATCCTCATCAAAACTGCACTTTGATTGAACTAAAAGTTGAGAATACAACAAATGATCCTTGTTATATGTAATATGTTTCTAGATTAAAGTGAATATTTTATGGATTTATGCTTCTTTATATGCTTAACGTATATATTTTTAACTTTTTGTCGTGGAAATGGTTTAAGACTTTAAGTATTACATGAGTAGTGTTATATTTTAGCCTTGCCAATTTTCTTTCTAAGCCCCAATAACAATTTTTTAAGATATATATATATATATTTTAAGTGTTGATTACCATAAGAGCATTTATTCTTTTAATGCACCTATATATTAAAAATCTCTTTCTTTCTCAAACCCTAAAATGGAAGATGGAATCAAACAAGTTATGGATATTCCATTACCTGTTCATGTTTTCGGGTTGCTTCAAGAGATTCAATTCAACTCTTGTTTATACTTGCAAGTTAAACAATTGTTAAATTCTATTATTTTTTAATACGTAGGAGACCACCCAAAACAAAAAAGAGAACAAAATAACTAAATGAATGCATAAGGATACTTAAATTTAACCAAGGCAAACCAAAAAAAAAAAAAAAAAAGCGACATGAGGTTACCAAAGATTTAGTAGAAAAAGAAGGACAACTGACTGAATTAAAGCTGGCCAAACTGGCCCATTTCATAATGAGAGACTTTATGGAAATTGGAATTTTCAAAGTTAATAGTTAAAATCAAATAATTTAATGCTCTCTATCATTTGATCCAATTTAGAATCTAAATTTATAATTAATATACTCATAGTTTTTCTTAAATTACCAGCGAGGATATTGATAAAAGTAGTCATATTAATAAGTCACTCTTCACACAAATGATAAAAAATCCAACAAATTTAAATACAAATAACCAAATTTAATAGTGCTATGGCTATAATTCATTGATCCATGAGTTTAGTGTTAGACTTTGTTAGCTCTTGATCTTGATAACATTTAAAATGAATTGTTGGTCTAAAATTTTCCAATGATTTTAAAGAATAGAAAATAAATACACTATATTTTAGATGGCTAAAGCCCGCTTGATTGATGTCAGGTCATATTTTCTTCAGCATTAGACACCACTGAGATATCTTTAATAAAGTTATTTCCTGGAAGTCAAATCATTTTTCAGGTCCAAACAGTTGCAATAAAGTTGAGTTTCACTAGCATTATAGTGTAGCACACCATTTATGACAGAGAGGTGAAGTTAGCTAATATAGAAACACTGGAAGGCAAGATCAAAGATCAGTAGCCATTCTGCTTTGAGAAATGAATACATTGATATAGTTTCAATCTGTTTTTCTCTTTTGCATCACCGTGACACAATTTTAATACGATTTTCTCTTTTGCCACTTAATAGATGTAAGGTCATATAAGTAATTATTTCTTTTTTAAAATTGTTTGATTGCATTTCAAAAGTGTTTTTAAGATTTTAAATAAACTATTTTCCGGCTTATAAGGAGAAGCTCTAATTTATAAGCTTTTTTTTAACTTACCTAAAGTGTAAATTCCAAATTCTTCTATCCTTTTTGGTAAATTAATGTAAGATAGCTCTTTTACATTTTCCTGAACAAAATTTTGACAAAAACTCTATTCGTATAAGCTCTACTCAATCTCTTTTTTCATAAGCTATAATAAAAAAGACCATACCAATAATTTAAGTAAATAACACTAATTAAAATAATTAAAAATTTAATAATGAATATTATATAATATAGTATATTTAATCAAATAATTAACAACACTAATGTCTAATGTTATAATACCAAGGAAGCAAATTGTGCCAAGTGAGTGTATTCTCAGACTAAATAAAATTTTATTCTTAATCTAGGTCCGATCTTGTAAAAGAAGACCCAATACTAATAATTCTGGGCGGAAAATTGGTCGAAAGCATGTGAGATGGGGTAAGAAACTCCCCGACTCCGTGGTTCTCCCGCTTCCTCTGCAGCATTGATTCTCTTGAAACACAAGCCAAACACAAACAATAAAATAAACAGAAAAATAAATAAATGATACTTGATTTACCCTGATTCGTTCCGATTAAGGAACTATGTCCAGCATTTGAATAGAGATTTTATTGAGTTTTAGAACTATACAACAATTACAAATCAATAATTGACGATAGCTCACTCTCTCTCTATTTTCTTTTTTGTAACTCTAGGTTTTTCACTATTATATATATAATAGAAAAACCTTACCTCATTTGGGCCTATCTGAATCTAACCTGACCCAAGTCCAAATATTAGTAAAATAATCACAAGTCCAATTATTAATTAGACTTACCGTGTGTTTATGTAGGGGTCAAGACCATGCAAAGTATAAACAATATCCAACAGATTCTCCTTCTTAAAGAGCCAGCGTCAAGCACCAATTAAATCACGATGCCAATTTATTTTTGGTTTGAAATGTGTGCTTAATCTGTATTTTTTAATTCGAAGTTTCTTGTAAAAAGTTTTTGCATATTTGTTTCTGGTTTCTTTTTGTTTACGTCTTGCCAGGGTGAATAATACGTTCACTATGGAGAGTTCAACTTCTCCAAGCATCATAATGAACCACAATACTAAAAAGTTCCCGGAAATAAGTTGAGGACCCTATTTCCACTCGAAAGGTTGTTCTCTACATCCCATGTGTGTTAGAAATATTTTATATTTCTCATAAGGTGGTCCATGTATTAATTTTATCATATAGTTGTTTTGAAATAATTAAATTAACTGAAAGGCATGATGGTTATTTACCTTTGATGAAGAAGTTATTGCAATTAATTAAATAACTACAGTTTCGAAGTTTTTGAGCTGCCATATAAAAGAGTTATTCTCTCTCTACTTCCAAATTAATTCATTACATATATTTTTCTTTATCCATCAAAAGAAGATATTGATAATAAGGGAACAAAGGAAAAGATATATAGTGTCTTCTTTCACAATTTCATTTAAAGATTACACATGGATTCATGTATGTTTTATTGGTTTTATAAATAGTGAAAATGCATCAAAGTTTCAGATTTTTGGGATTTAAGATTATGCAATTTTAGAGCATAGAAATATGATTATATTGTTGATTCTTTGCCATTCATGGAATTGATAAAATTGCTATTAAGATTGTTTTACAATCTGCTCTTAATTTTTAATTCACGTTCATTGGAAATTTCTTGGAGAAAGTTGTTGTAAGAAAAAATTTAAAAAATTTAAAAAATAATAATTGTGTAACAATAGTCAAATTTTATGATAAGATTGGAGTGGCATGTTTGACGGAGTCACCACTAGACCGAATGAACATAAGGAATGTCGTCCATGAGTTGGTATCAGCCAGGAGCATCCTTCTGGAACCTAAGGCAAGGAGTTAACATTCAAATGATTTAAATCACCTCACTTGCTGATAATTACATAATGTGTCCCGTAATTTTGCTATATTCTTTAAATTAATTTTACGCTCTTAATCCTTTTTACTAATTGCAGGGCTATGAAGAAAAGATCATCATGAAGTAGTAGATAAGCAGAATGTGAGACATTAGAAAAGCAGGGTGAAAGAGCTTTTCTCCTATGATCTGCCTGACAACTTACATTCTATCAACTTAAATGATTTTAGAGATATATCCCTTGTATTAAATTTTTGTGATTCTTATCTTGTTTGAAGAATGAGAACCTGAATTTTTTCTTTTGAAGTAAAATTACAATAAATAGAACTTCGTTTAACAATCCAGTCAAAATATGCACTTCGCTTTCTAAAAGTTTGCTCAAAAGAAAAAAATAATAATAATTGCGAGATTTGTTATGCAGTCACATACGATGAGGACCCTATTTCCACTTGAAAGTTTGTTTTTTACTAATGCTGTGGATGCCACGTGTTCTTAATTTTTAATTTATGTTCTTAGGAAATTTCTAGGAAAAAGTTGTTGCAACTTTCTAAGACTGTACGAGACTTGACTCCACTTCACTAAGACGGCAAGAGACTTGACTCCACTTAGTCCTGGATAGTGGATACCTTTTTCTACCTTAACTAAGACGGTAAGGGACTTGACTCTACTTCAAATTGAGAAAAGAAAAGATTATGCATTATTAGTTTCTAGTGCGTAGCACACCAACTGCAGGAGACCCTTGGAATTTTTAAAATTGAATTGAAGGTTAAATATTTGTATGGTCCAATTAGAAGAAGCCATAACATGAAGCAGAGAATTGTTAGCCCTCAAGTTGATGAAATAAATAAAAATGATACACAGACAAACTACAAGAAGATTCAATGGAGCAAGATTGCTCTTTGAGCCATAAATTTAATAAGCTATTCACAGATCAAAAACAAGAAGAAAAATTTACATGTCCCTTATAAAAAAATATCTATTTGGTTAGTATCGTGTTATTTCATTAATATCTATTTGGAGGATAGTTTTGATGATTTTAATAAAACTTCAAACGATCGTTTCAAAATTTGATGACTTTAATAATTGGCAATTTAGCAATGAGATTTTTCCACACTCTAAATTACTAAACACGAGTCATGCAGCAACATAAGATGAGGATCCTATTTCTACTTGAATGGTTGTTCCTTTCTAAGACTGTAAGAGACTTGACTCCACTTAACCAAGACTGCAAGAGACTTGACCCCACTTAGTGTAGCACACCATTTATGACAGAGAAATGAAGTTAGCTAATATAAAAATGCTGGAAGGCAAGATCAAAGATCAGTAGCCATCTTGCTTTGAGAAATGAATACATTGATTCAGTTTCAATCCATTTTTTTCTTTTGCATCACGGTCATACAATTGATAACTTGTGTCAATTCTGAATTGGCTGAAAACGAGACAGATCGTGTTGCCTTGCAGGCCTTCAAGTCAAAGATTATACTTGATCCTCAAGGTGTTCTTAACTCTTGGAATGATTCTCGACACTTTTGCGATTGGGAGGGGATTACTTGCGGTCGCAGGCATAGAAGAGTCACCTTCTTAGAACTGCGTTCAAGAGGTTTGTCTGGGTCATTGTCACCATCCATTGGCAACCTCAGCTTCCTACAGAAGTTTGATGTCTCAAACAATAGTCTCCAAGGTGAAATCCCTCCCGAAGTTGGTCGTCTGTTCAGGTTAAAAGATTTACAGCTGCGCAATAACTCCTTGGTGGGAGAAATTCCGGCCAACATGTCCCATTGCTCAAGGCTTACATTCTTGAATCTAGGAATAAACAATCTTGTAGGGAAATTTCCATCGGAGTTTGTCTCCTTGAGAAACTTGAAAAGATTATCTGTATTCAGTAACAGTTTGACAGGAGGCATCCCACATTTTATTGGGAACCTTAGCTCCCTGGAAATTTTAGATTTAGCTGTCAACGCTTTTGGAGGAAACATTCCAGATTCATTGGGTCGATTGAAAAATTTAACAGGTCTTGGACTTGGTCAAAACAACCTATCTGGTACGATTCCTCCTTCTATATACAATCTTTCCTTTCTTGTTAATTTTTCTTTGCCTTTCAATCAATTCCATGGAAGTCTTCCACCAAATTTAGGCCTTGCTCTTCCTCGTCTCAAATTTTTTCATATCTCCTATAACTTGTTTAGTGGATCTATTCCAGTATCTTTATCCAATGCTTCAGAACTGGAACATATTCATTTGAACAACAACGATTTTTCTGGAAAATTGTCAATTGACTTTGGAGGCCTGCAACATCTTGCATTTCTACATGTGGGCACTAATAAGTTAGGAAGTGGAGAAGGTGATGAGATGAGTTTTTTAAGTTCTTTGGTCAACTGTAGCAATTTACGTGTTATCATGCTACTTCAAAACCAATTCAGAGGACCCTTGCCTCATTCCATAGCTAATCTCTCTAGTACTACACTCCAACATTTTGGTGTTTATAATAATAGTTTGTATGGAAACATTCCTTCGGGGATAACCAACCTGGTTAACTTAATTTCTTTCCAGATTTCGATTAACCAATTTTCAGGCACAATTCCCGAAGAACTAGGTAAGCTTCACAACCTTCAATTTTTAGATCTATCTTACAACAAACTCTCAGGTGAAATTCCTCTGTCTCTTGGGAAACCTATCTAAACTCGAAGCCCTTTGGTTGAGCAATAACATATTATCTGGAGTCATCCCTTACAGTCTAGGAAAATTGAAACAATTAAAACAGTTGGAACTTTCCCAAAATGAACTTAGTGGAACCATACCCAAACAAATTTTTGAAATAACATATTTGTCAATTTCACTGAATCTAGCCCGAAACCAATTGATTGGATCTATACCTCCAAACATCAGTAACTTGAAAGTTCTATCAACTTTTGATGTGTCTGATAATAATTTATCTGGTGAAATTCCAAATCAACTTAGTCTTTGTTCTAGTCTTGAATATCTTTATATCAAGGGCAATTTCTTTGAAGGATTTATACCCTCACCGTTCAGTTCTCTCAGAGGTATTCGAGACATTGATCTTTCTCATAACAATTTGTCTGGTCAAATTCCGAAATTCTTAGAGACTCTCTCTTTGGAGAATCTAAACCTGTCCTTTAATAATTTTGAGGGTGAAGTGCCATCAAAAGGAGTTTTTGCAAATGCAAGTGCGATATCAATTGTCGGGAATAGTAATCTACTTTGTGGGGGTATAGCTGAACTATATCTCCCGAAATGCGTCAACAATGAGTCAAAGAAGGAAAAGATCTCTAAACTGTCCAAAATATTAATCCCAATCGTAAGCACTTTTTCAAGCTTGGTCGTGATGTTTTTTTTCATTTTTTGTTGGCTCAAAAAGAGAAGACGAAAACAACCTTTTGAATTTGAATCTACGTTGATAAGAGAACTTTTGAATTTGTCTTATGAAAAGCTTCTTAAAGCAACTGATGGGTTTTCTTCAACAAGATTGATTGGTGTGGGCAGTTTTGGTTCAGTGTATAAGGGAATCTTTAGTCAAGACGGAACCATTGTTGCAGTTAAAGTACTTAATCTTCAACGTCAAGGAGCTTCCAAGAGTTTCTTAGCGGAGTGTAAAGCATTGAGAAATATCCGTCATAGAAATCTTGTCAAAGTCATAACTTCTTGCTCAAGCATTGATTTTCAAGGCAATGACTTTAAAGCTCTTGTTTATGAGTACATGCCAAATGGGAGTCTTGAGAAGTGGTTGCATCCTACACCAAAAACAGAAGAAGAGCAACCTGAAATTCAGAATCTTACTCTTCTTCAAAGAATAAACATTGCAACTGATGTGGCATCTGCGATAGATTATCTTCATCATCATTGCCATGAGCCAATCCTCCATTGCGATCTAAAGCCAGGCAATGTTCTTCTAGACGATAACATGACAGCTCATGTTGGGGATTTTGGTCTAGCAAGGTTTCTCCTAGAAGTCTCAAATCCAAATAAAAGCAGCTCTGTTGGAGTAAAAGGAACAATAGGGTATGCAGCCCCAGGTAGCCACAACTTTTTTTAATTTGAAAAGTTAATTACTTGTCAAAGGTCATATACTTCCTAATATAATATTATTGTGAATTGCAGAGTATGGTCTAGGAAGTGAGTTGTCAACAAATGGGGATGTCTATAGTTATGGGATCTTGTTGCTGGAGATGGTAACAAGGAAAAAACCCATAGACCCTATATTTGAAGGAGACTTTAATCTTCACAATTTTGCCAGAATGGCCTTGCCTGACCGGGTGATGGACATTGTGGATCATCTGCTTCTAAATGATGAAGAAGAGGTGCTTGGTACAAAGCATAGGCTAAGGGAAAAAAGAAACAACATCAGAAAGGAATGTTTCAAGATTATGGTAAGGATTGGAGTGGCATGTTCAATGGAATCTCCACAAGATCGAATGAATATAAGAGATGTTGTGAATGAACTAAAATCAGCCAAGAGCATCCTTCTAAAGCTCAACAGGCAAGAAGGTAAGATGGAAAAAGATTTAAATTACCTCTCTTTTTGATAATGAGGTAAAATCTCCCACCATTTTTGCACTATTATTTTAATTTTTTTTTTTTTTTAATTGTAGGGTTATGAAATGAATATCATCAGCAGGTTGTTATCGATAGACAAACAAGGAGGTAGATGATATAACCATTATCAAGAAGTTCTTCTGAGCTTTATATTTTATTAACTTATATTATGTGTACTCTCTTTGTTTCAATCAACTTTGTGAGATTTTTCTTTCTAGGTTTCTAGTTTAAAAATAATTTCCCTTTCATGAATTATATATGCATCAATTAAATTCTTCCAATTATTTAATATTTTATATTAAATAAGTTCATGTCTCATTTTTTATCAGTAAACTATCCATGTATCTCAAATTTATTGATATGAACTCCTTAAGGTCTTCAATAAAACTTAAAAAGATAATTCTGTCATAAAGTTATTCTCAAACAAATAAGCTTTAAGTCCCAATAGCTCAANGCTATATATTTTATTAACTTATATTATATGTACTCTCTTTGTTTCAATCAACTTTGTGAGATTTTTCTTTCTAGGTTTCTAGTTTAAGAGAAATTTCCCTTTCATGAATTATATATGTATCAATTAAATTCCAATTATTTAATATTTTATATTAAATAAGTTCATATCTCATTATTTATCCGTAAACTATCCATGTATCTCAAATTTATTGATATAAACACCTTAACGTCTTCAATAAAACTTAAAAAGATAATTCTGTCATAAAGTTATTCTCAAACAATTAAGCTTTAAGTCCCAATAGCTCAAAAACAAATATATATATAATTGGATGATTTATTTCAAACATAAGAGATGTCAAATGCATAGCATTCCATATTTTCAAAATATTTGGTTTATACATGTATAAATACATTATATATAATTGGTTAATATCGATCACTAATGTTTTCTAAAGAGAATAATTTTTTACTAATATAATTAAATAAATAACAATTTTACAAATTTTGTTAACCCTCTCAAAAATTAATTTCTGATTTTGTCCCTCGTCCAAGGATTGAGATGAGATAATTAGAAAGAGGTGACAAAGAATGAAGAAATGAGGAATGAGTAATAACATTAAACCCCTTATTCTTTTTTATTTATAAAAAGACCCTAAAATTTCCTTAAATTCTATAACACCAAAACTTATAGTGCACCCCACCGCATAATATATAATCTCTAATATTCATAATTTTAATTTTCCCTCCATTTTAGCTCATATTTTGTCTCTCCCATCCACTGGAGAGCCAAACAAACACAAGCAAGATCTGTGAGAACAATTGAGGTAATTTTAATTTTTTTTTTTTAAATTTCAAATTATATCTTTAATTGAAATTCTCAGTTCGTCATCAACTTTTACTTTCTTGAATTACATTTTCTATATCTATCTGCTCTAGCCATTAATTTTGCTCATTCTAGGGTTTCAATCTAACTTCTAAATATCCAACTTCTAAATGGCTTTTTAAGCAAGACCTCTCATAATATTTTTGAACACTTCTACCCCTGTCTTTCGCACTCATGTGTATCATTATTTCCATGAAAAAAAAAAAAAAAGATTTTGATTCAAGATTGAAATATAGAATTTTTGGTTTTTTGGTTGATTTTTTTGAAAGAATTTAAAGTTAAAAATGTACATGAAATGTCGAAAATATGTTTAGTGTATGAAAAAAGAACCATGTTACTTCAAATTGAGTTAAAAATTCACTTTTCCAAAAAAAAAAATGATGAAAAAATCCGAGCAAATTTGAATAAACTCGAGTCCAGTCACTCAAGTGGGGCATAATAAATTAATGTTTTTGATACATGGGTCATATTGAAATTTTGCATATAATCTATTATGTAAAATGTCTATCATTAATTCATATCAAATATATATCAAATAGTCTCTCTCAAGCGAGTTTAATATCTTTATACCCCACTCGAGTGACTAGATTCGAGCCACCAGACTCAAGCAACTCGAGTTTCTATAATTTTTCTTAAAATCAGATTTTTTTTATTTAAATAATAGAAAGTGAGATTTTCTTTTTCTTTTTCCCCTAAATATGCAATATTTCACTTATATTAAACGCATATGAACATAATATCACACTACCTATATAAAAAAATACAAAAAACATAAATCTAAGACGTTAAGGAGAAGATAGAAGAGAAAAGAAGAAAAGAGGAGAAAGAAAGAAGTAAAGAAGTGAATTGAAGGAGAAGGGCAAAATTGTCCAAATTTTGTAACAAATGTCATAATTGCGAAGACAATTAGGGATAGGTTGTTTTTAATTTGACTCTTAAAATAGGGGCATATGAGTAATTATATATTTTTTAAGACTGTTTGATTATATTTCAAAAGTTCTTATAGGATTTTAAATAAATTATTTTCCAACTTATAAGGAGAAACTCAAATTTTATAAGCTTTTTGTAGCTTATTTAAAGTGTTGAAATTTCAAAATTTTCTTACTTTATTTTATAAATTTAACTTGATTTATTCTAGAAAATTAAAGCCTTCTTGGTAAATTAACATAAGATAGCTTTTTTACATTTTCCTAAAAAACAATTAACAAAATTTTCACAAAAGCTCTACTCTTATAAACTCTACTCAATCTTTTCTTTCATAAGCTCCAGTCAAAACGACTGTGCCAATCATTTAAGTAAATAACAATAATTAAAATAATTAAAGAGTTAATAATGAATATTGTATAATATAGTCTATTTAATCAAATAATTAATAACACTAATGTCTGGGTCTAAATAATTTTTTTTCCAAATCTAGGTCCATTCCTCTAAAAGAGGACCCAATAATAATAATTCTGGGCCGAAAATGGGCCCAAAGCATGCAAGATGGGGTGAGAAACTCCCGCTTCCGCTACGGCTTCGGTCCTGCTTCTTAAAGAGCCAGCGTCAAACACCAATTGAATCACGATGCCAATTTATTTTTCGTTTGAAAAATGTGCTTAATTTGTATTATTTCATTTGAAGTTTCCTATAAATTTTTTTTGCAACTTTGTTTCTGGTTTCAACTTCTTGCCAGAGTGAATAATACGTTCACTATGGAGGGTTCAACTTCTCCAAGCATCATAATGAACCACAGTACTCAGAAATTTCCAGGGAAATTGATTTTGCAACTTTCTATATTTTCAGTGGAAGATATTGACTTTTGCAACATTCTATGATTATTGGTAGAAATTTAATGTTATGTACTCATGATCATCAGTTCTTTACCAGAAAACAGAGAGGAATGAGGCTAGACTCCACTTAAATTTGACAAAAGAACTATGGAATTGACCAATTTCTTATGTGCAACACAAAGGACTTGAGTATTTTGAAAATTGAATTGTGGCATAAACATTTTCTGAACAAAGCTTAACTTGTTTGAAGCTTTTGCAGAATGTCCATATAGACTAAAGCAAGCGAAACGTGTGGAAAACAAACAGCCATGGCATGAAACAGACAAACTGCTTTCAATTAAGTTGATGAAATTAACAAAAAATGGAAGACCAATCCCCAGGAAGATTCTATAATTATTTTATATATGTTTTATAATTTCATTTGAGTTTGAAAATCAAATCAAGAGGCACACTAACTTGACCGAGTCGGCGATGGGTCAAGCTAGTGCGTTTGAGAGTCGACTAGGAATGATTTCAGAACTGATTATAATGAAATGCCATTCTGTTTGTGATGCAGCAGAATAGGATAGACACTAGATACATTTTTTAGCATAGTAGCTCAAATCCAATAATAAAACTCCTGAATGTATAAGGAGATTTTTTGAATCCACAAGAAAATGTCGAATCTACGACAAAACAGTTCACCAAGAAACCATTAAGAAATTTTATTGATAAGCCATTATTATTGTTTGTAGGATAACAAATCTATTTATACTAAATTTATCCTAGTGTTAATAGAACAAGAGATAAGGAATTATTAAATAAGAAACTAAAATAAACCTTACTAATTTAACCAAAATCCTAAAATAATTAAACTTCCCAAATATAAAATCATAATTAATATTGGAAAATCTAATAACAAAAAATAATGTAGGACAAAGATTAGAATTCTGTCCTACATCAGATGTAGAACAAAGATTTTCATGATCCTCAAGGTGTCCTGAACTCGTGTTATGCAGCTGCAGGGAATTGCAAGACTTTTGATATTCTGCTACATTAATATTAACTCATGCTTACTAAAAAAATTGAACAGGTAATTTACTTTTCAAAAGATTATTATAATTTCTAATGTTATTGTTGTTGGGTTTAGGAGTATGGTCTTGGAAGTGAGATGTCAATAAATGGGGATGTCTACAGTTATATGGGATCCTGTTGTTAGAGATGGATGTTGCAACTTTCTATGATTCGTTGTGGAAGAGAGTTTGAAGTCTTGGCAAATTGCGACAATGGTTTTACCTCTTTGGACTTGTTTCAAAACGTTCCCACTAAAAATTATTAAGTGGAAGAAGGCACTCTTTTTTCATTGTCATATGGGAGATGATGGACTTGACTCCACTTAATTAAGACGGTAAGAACTTGACTCCACTTAGTACTAATCCCTTTTTTACCTTAACTAAGACGGTAAGGCACTTGACTCCACTTCAAATTGAGAAAAGAAAAAGATCATGCATTAATTTCTTGTATGTAGCACAACAGCTGGAGGAGGCCCTTGGAATCTTTTCAAATTGAATTGAAGGATAAATATTTTCTCAGCAAGAGTCAAATCAAAAGCAGATTGAAGCACTTTTAACGTCCAATTACACCAAAATTACACCAAATTTCTTCACCGTCATGTACACAACAAGGAAATAACTAAATGAATGCATAATTCAAGTTTTACCAAAAAATAAAAAAGATACTTAAATTTAACCAAGGCAAACCAAAAAAAAAAAAAAAATGAAAGAAAAGGCGACCATGAGGTTACCAAAGATTTAGTGGAAATAAATTGTAAAGAATGACAATTGACTGAATAAAAGCTGGCCAATCTGGCCCATTACAGAATAAGAAGAGACTTTATGGAAATTGGAATTTTCAAAGATGTGGGTCCGCCGAGTAGTTTGCAATCCCGGTGTTCTTTTTTATGTATGCAATGAGTAATTGAATATGAACTAAATTTGTAGGTTTCAC